ATGCTGGGGTAAAATCTTTTCCTTATGCAGACTTTCCTCACTGGAATTCACTTTCATGTTGTATACATCAAAAGCTCATGGCTGCATACTGAATTTGTATAAACCTATTTAAAATGTCAAGATAATAAGTTACTTAACCTAGACAGGCTGAGCAGTGGGCCTGGGAGAACCCCATGATTGTTCTGTGTGACTGGACAAGGGAAAATGGTTTCAAATAAAAGAAGGGAAATTTAATTTAGATATGAGGAAAAGGTTTTTTACATTGAGAGTGGTGAGGCGCTGGCGCAGGTTGTGCAGAGATGTGTGGATGTTCCATCTCTGGAGATGTTTGAGGTCAGAGCCCTGTCCAGCCTGAGAACCTGATGGAGCTGTCTATATCTCCATTCATTGGAGGTTGGTTGGACTAGGTGACCTTTAAAGATCTCTTCCAACTCCAACAATTTTAGTATCCAATGAAGTATTTGTCTCCTTTTGCTAAGGCACTGACTGCACTTTTTCATATGCAGATGTGAAATGAGACCTATTGAATTCCAGCTAGATCTGATACTGATATCTGATAGATACACCTAGTATACATATTAGTATGGAAGTATTGCCAAGTATGTATTAGTGTACTTATTATATTACCTCATGTTAGTTATAAGGTACTGAAAACCATAATCTGGCAAGTTTCAATACCTCTTCTATATAATATGATGTCACATGGTTTAACACCATTAACATGTATGCCTTGAGGTTGCTCTTCAATAGACCCACAACCTGTGACTATAGAATACATTCACTTGCAAAGTGATTTAGTATGAAAAGGAGTCTGATAACCATTTATCATATTAAAAAGAATTTCTCAATTTATGTGAGTGGTGTCCCCTTCTGACACAGAAAGTATATGTCTCTGTGCACAGTAAGGATATTTAAAAATGACATACTGCATTACCTGGATAGGAAAATCAATCCTATCCAATATGAAAGTATAAATATCACTTGCTGAATGAAGATGAATGTAACATTCCCACTGAGTGAGTCTATTCTGGGGAAATCATGAAGCAGAAATAAGATTAAAATAAAATGTGACAGCTGGATTTTGTTGCTAGCTCTAAAAGAGTCCCATGACAAGGTTGCACCCGGTTCCTTTTATAGCAACTCTGGTTTATCTCCCCTGTAATTTTGGCCTGAGAAATTCCAGCTAAGCTTTGACGTCAAAGGCAACTCTCTACAAGCAGAGATTGTCTTTTTATGCAGAGCAAATTTACAAAACAAGTTTCACTGGTAAGGATGACTTCTGCCTTCCTTCCTTACATTACCCCTGAGCTCCCAAATTACCTTTAAACTTTCTGTAAGGTAAAATTCCATTGCAACATCACACTTGTGTTATATCTGAAAAAGAGGTGGACAGACCAAGCTGTTGGTTGTCTCGTGGACAGTTTTTAAGCCAGCCTGCTCCCTCTGTTGTTGGTGTGCTTTCACTCTCATCGAAGCACATACAGAAGACAAGTCTTATAGTCTGTGCGAGCGATTACAGATCCCGCTAGAGCTCTTCTGCTCACAACAAAGCTGCTGGCAGTAACCTCAGTATGCTGCTGTAGTGGCTGAGGCCATCAGAAATCTCCGGGCTGATGCACAAACATGTTCTCGCAAGTTGTTCATTTAACTTGAAGTGATGATTGCATTTGAAACTATCATCCTGCCAGAAGTTTGATTCTAAGCCCCTTTATATTCTGCATCCAAAAGACACTCTGCAACAGATTTGATGTCAGCTAGCATTGGAGACCTCCTTCCAGTTAAGTGCAGCATTGGTAGAATTTATTTCCCAGAAGAAGCACTGTGCTGCAGTGCTTGACTCCTGTGTGCACACTGGCACTTGGTCCTGAGGCTGCTGTGAGCGAGGCAGGCATAGTCAAGGAGCCCATTGAAGTATGTGTGGTCTGAGCAAGGACTAATTCATTACCAGGAATAACTTTGAATTGACACAGAAAGTCAGCACTCCTTCTTGGCATAGAATGATGATTTATTCTTCCTGGACCTCAGAGCACTTTATTTTTAGCCAAAAATAATCATGGGCTGTTAAGCACAAAGCAAACCTGAGATGCAGAGAAGCCTGCAGCACCGTGCACAGGACAGAAGAACTCTCACTGCAGCAGTCTCGCGCTGGTGGAGCCGTATGGGACTTCACACCTGGCCCAGTAGAGCCATTCCTGCATCAACTCGATGTGTATGTGTCACCCCAACAAGACAAACTGTCCTTTTTTAAATGATTCAGAATCAAAAAACCACAAGGTATTTTTGGAGACAGAAAGGAGACATTAAGAGCCAGCAAAATTGCTTCAGTTTGTTCTCTGCTCTCCATGGAAGTGTCCACAATATCCCTACACAGTTCTATTTTATAATGCAAGGAGGAAGGGATCTGGTCTAAGCTGTTTTCTAAAGGTTATATAGGGAGTTTCTGGGAGAGCCTAGAAATAGATAAGGGCAGCCATGATGGCAGAGAGGCTACTGATGTCCTTGTGCTTGAATGCAAGGCATCAACAAAGCAGGCCAACCCTAAGAAATGTGTGATCATTCATAATTCTGTATTCATATTTCAGTATAATTCTGTGTACAGTGTAATATTCTGAGCCACACTTCCCAAAGAGATGAATGGGGTGTCAGCTGAGGAGGAACATTATGAGATGGAGACCTTGCAGGAGTGCCTGGCCAGAACCCACAAGCTTCTCAAATAAACAGATTGAGGAAAGGGGAAAGTCTCAGCTTTTTCCAAAGGAAAGAATGTGTCTTCTGCTTTGTTTGCTGATACCAAACAGGTAAGGGCTGGAGCACTGACACTGACACCTGGGAGCAGGAGGTAGACTGGGACCCCATGAGATCCAGCACTGTGGTGACACTGTGATCCTGAGAAAAACACTGTTTCATGCATGACACTGGTCCAAACCTTAAGTGATCTATGCAGAATGAAAGGCTGAATGAACTAGGTCTGTTCAGCCTCGAGAAAAGAAGACTGAGAGGGGACCTGATCCAGGTCTATAAGTATCTAAGGTGTGGGGGCCAGAATGGCGAGGCCGGCCTCTTTTCAGTGGTGAGTGGAGACAGGACAAGGGGAAACGGCCGGAAACTGCAGCATAGGAAGTTCTGCACAAATGTGCGCAAGAACTTCTTTACAGTGAGGTGACGGAGCACTGGAACAGGCTGCCCAGGGAGGTGGTGGAGTCTCCTTCTCTGGAGATGTTCAAGACCTGCCTGGATGCCTACCTGTGCGACCTGCTGTAGGGAACCTGCTTTGGCAGGGGGGTTGGACTTGATGATCTCTGGAGGTCCCTTCCAACCCCTACAATTCTGTGATTCTGTGATTCTGTGATACTTTACGGAGATACAAGCAATACTGCCCTGACTGCCGTTGCCTACAGCAATGTTTCTTTGCAGAGGACAAACACAAATGATGCTTTTGCAGATGCATATCAAAAATACTCCGTGGTAAGAGCACTGGAGAAGAGCCTGTAGTAAATTTAAGCTTGTGACATTGTGGGTTTGGGGTGGAGAAGGCAAGGAGGAACAGCGGTGTCCCTGCTCTCAGTTACAGCTCTGTGGCTACTCCTTGCCTTGCATTCACAGCTGTCTGCTTCTGCCATAATACATGTCACTGTTTCTACAGCTCAGTAAAGGAAGAAGTGTATGAGAAGCCCCTGGGTCTGGGCACATCTCTGTAACAGCAGCTATGAGCCCTTGTGATTCTTCCAGCTGGGGCTTTGTCACATCTGCCAGAAGAACTGTGCTTTTTCACCCATGGCTTAAGCCTCTGCCCTCCTAGCCCTGCAGCAAAAGAAAAGAAACACAGCTAAGACTGCATTTGGACTAAATAGGTGGTCAAATCCTACTCCAACAAGCTTTCAACGCCAGGTCCATGCAGTGAGGAAGCACTGCGCTCTGCTCCAGCAAATGGTAGAGCCATGCCTACTGAAAACCCAGACACGTACCTTCCATAAAGCTTCTTATCTAGCTGCTTATTTCATTATTGCAATGATTGCTATTTACACACGTAAAGGCTTGGTCCAAGTGTAGGTAGCCACGTGCACACGAAGGCCAGTCTGTGCTCCTTGCTCTTTGAAGCACTGTCACACAGAGCCAGTCTTGCAAGAGGCAAAACCTCCTTTTCTCTCTTTGACTCAGTGAGAAGGTGAAGGGTTCCACAAATCAGAGGCTACTGGTGTTGCTGCATATCAAAGTTAGTAGTCTTCTGTAGAGAAAAGTGTTCTTTGATCAGCATCTTTTGCTTTACTGAAATTAACTCTGTTATGCTAATAGTCTTACTCATTAAAGCTTTGCTCTAATAGTCCTGAATTACTGCTAGGATAACGACATTTCTGCTTCTAAATGTCCTGTGCATTCCAACCAAATTACATCTGTGTTTGTGCACAGATAAATTATTCTCACAAAACTTACATTAAACATCCTTCCTGCTTCAAAAATACCATAGGATACAAGATGACCAGGTCACCTGGCAATCATCCTTTGCCTTCAGAAAGGGAGAACAGACACCCCTCCTGGCATTTAAAAAGGAAAGAAATCTGTAGGATATATCCTCTTACATGCATAGAGTGAGTCAGGCTCCTGTACAGCAAGAATCTGTGCTGTAAGGTGCAAGAAGACAATCTAGTTTCTCATTGTACAGTAGTGGAGAAGGAAGCAAGCAAGGAAGAAACAACTATACTTGATTTATGATTTGCAATGTCTAACATATTGCTATTGCACCAAGGATGCACGTATGGGATTGACACCACACCTGGTGAAGCTCTAAAATCAAATGACTGCTGTAGAAATAACTGCTCCTAGCCTGTGACTGTGGTGCAACTGGGACGTGTCATGAGGGCAGTGCTGCAACAAGGTGAGTACAGCAGAGAAAATGACTGATGGTGAAGCACACGTACTTGCAGCAGCACTTGGTACCGCCACGTGATTCCCCATCCCCGCTCCCCAGCTGAACGTGCAGGGTTGATGCATGCAACCCACCCACATGTAAGCCCCCCACTGCTTATTTTAGGATGGGGCTGATCAGTTGACTTGAGCTTTAGAAGATCTCTCACAGTGCCATATCTGTGATTTGCATTTTTGTGCACAACGTCGGTTCAGCCTTGTGCTTTGGTGACTGACATGTTGCCTGGAAGTTGCGGTGCCTGGATGAGTAAGTCTCTGCCTTGGTCGACCTGAGGGGATTCAGCTTTAGTTGTTCCTACCATCTCATTCCCAATGAAGAGAAGTAGTCTTACAACTTACTATATCAAATCTTAAAAAGAAGGTGGCCATTATCAATGAAACTGAAACCTTTCCTTGCTGTAAGTTACCACAAAATTTGATCTGAGCTAATGTAATTTCTGGGAAATGTAATACACTGAAATCTTGGCTACCAGCAAGAGGCCAAACATGATACATACCCCCCTTTTATGGTCTTCACAACATCAGCCCAATTTGCAGAACAAACACATTCAGCCTTCAGCCCTTGTCCTATCACTCGTGCATCCTGCAGCTAGTAAGATGGATGCATCCAGTGATGCTCCAGGACAAAACTATCCCTGCACTGGTGAGAGCTGCTCTAGTACCTGCATTCTGCCAGCAAAACTGTCTGCTTAACAGCCCCTGAGAGACACTCACAGCCCCAGGAGAAGGTCAGAGCCACAGTAACAGCAGTCTGCAGAAGTTAGTCTCTCTACCATGCTTGACAATAGTGAGGGGGTTCAAGGGATCTCTGGAAGTTTCCAGTCCAGAGTAAAACTATAGTTCACAATACCTGCAAAGGGAGGTTGGATTTGTAAATCTTATTGCATAGTGGTACAGGACACAAATCACTAATCAGCTTTAGGCTATGAGTTAAACATTAAAAGGAAATGGTAATTGTTAAACCCACTTAGTACAGACTTCTGCTGACACTATTCCTGCTACCCAAGCTGCATTCACTAGAAACAAAAAATATTTTATTTTAATTACAGATATCTTTTTTCTCTAGACTGGCCTGAAAGGCTCCGACAGGTGAAACAGAAAATCCAGCCTGAGCAAGCAATTGATGCCATCCCTGGGTGCCAGAGCCACAGGAGGACATAAAACACAAAGTGTTTTGAAATGGATATTCTCAAAATTCATGTGGGGGGATGAATAAATACTGGGTGGAACCATGGAAGCCTCCAGGATCAGATCCTGTAACTGAGCAGTAAGGAGAGCTGTCATTACGTGACCGCAGAATTTCTGGGCTCACAGAAAAACACAGATGATCATGACTTGGAACCTCCTGGAAACGGTTATGCTCCTGTTCCTCCCACACCAGAGAGGCGGCACGTTCTCTTGAAAGCTGGAAGCTGACTGGGAAGAAACTTCCACACCTATCCTTGCAGCTCTCTGAGCTGCTCCAAAGCTGGAGCTGTGTGACTTCTGCTGTGAAATCCCATCTTGCTGGAGCTGGTTTTGTACCGTGTGGTTTTCCTCCCCTGCCAGCTCCTGCTCTCAGTCCAGCTGAGGTCATTTAGCATTAACTATTCTGTAGTACTGGTTCTTGGCTGCTGCAGAGCCCTTTGCTGCTGGACCTGCCCAAGCATCTGGCACTTGCTGCAGTAGAAGGATGCGGTGGAGTGGCTGCAGCCCGGGCCCAGCTGACCCATGCCAGGCCACGTATGTGGATGGCAAAATACCATCTTCCCTTTTGGAAACCAACCTGCTCCATGAACTGATGTCAAGGACAAAGCTACAGCGCCGTTCTGATGAGAAGTGATACATGTTGTGGGAACGCATGGCTGGTTTCCACAGACCTTATCAAGAGGCAAATCTTTTGACTGTCTTTTGTGCCCATTTTTTATTTTTCCTACTTTTTTATCTTTAAATGGGGAAACGGTTGCTACTGTCCTGTTTCTGTTAAGCATTTCTTGTTTTATTTAAAGTTATGAGCCATTTTCAGTCTGCATACACACCGAAAATCAGGACGAAGAGCGCTTTTGCCCTTCTGCTCCACGGGAGTTCTCTGCCCTCCCCGAGCTCACCTTCGGACCCCACGTCAGGCTTTGTTAGGCGTACCGCCCCAGGCAAACTCTTCCACTCGGCAGCGGCTCCGACGCGGCGGGACTGGGAGCAGCAGGGTGACCTCCTGCAATTCCAAGAGCGGCCGCTGGGGGGCGCAGTGAGCGGCGCGAGAGGCGCGGGCAGACGGCGCGGCCCGGCAGTGCGCGCAAGGACCGCTCACCTCTCGGCACAACGGTCTGCTGCCTCCCAGCCTACACATCCAGCCGTGGTCTCCACTAGCTAGAAAGCTCTTGCTAAAAGGAACGTGGCTACCCAGAAATGCGGCTGTTCAGGTCTTTAGATGCGGGGTTTGCCTGAGTCTGCTGCTGCCCTCACACGATGGCAGAAATACCATCTGCATAAGGTGGATGACCTGCTCAGCCTGCTGGTAGAGCTGGAGAGATTAAGGAACGTCAGGGAGTGTGAGCAGGAGATGGACTGGTGAAGCAGCTCCCTGCCATATCTGCAAGAAAGGCAGTGGTGTGATAGCAATTCATACAAGCGGTGGATCCCTTGCCCCACTGCAATTGGGCAGGGAGAGGGGAACCTAAGAGACAGAAAGGAATGGAAACAGGAGAGCCCCCCTCCCTACCAGTGGGTATCTGCTTTCCCAGATGCCTTTATACCATAGATTTGAGGCTCTGGATCTCCAAAGACAAGTGCAGGTGCTGTAGAAGGTCCACCCAGAAGGTTGTCTATGGAGAGGTGGTTGACTCCACGCCTCAAGACTCCTCCACCAAGAAGGAAAGAAGGGTAATCACCACAGGAGACTCCCTTCTGCGAGGAATCGAGGGCCCTGTATGTCAGCCAGACCCCACCTGTACGGAAGTGTGGGAGACCCCTCAGCCTGCTTTACAGAAGCTCTTTTAGTTTAAAAACCATTTCCCTTTGTCCTATCACTATCAGTCTGTGTAAAACGTTTTCTCCCCTCCTGCTTATAGTCTCCCTTTAAGTACTGGAAGGACACAGTGAGGTCTCCCTGGAGCCTTCTGTTTCCAGCATGAACAAACCCACCTCCCTCAACCTTTCCTCATAGAAGAGGTGCTCCAGCCCTTTGATATCTTTGTTGCCCTCCTCTAGACCCGCTACACCCAAGAGGAGAAATAATCCAGCAAGTATGTGAGCAAGGTCCTCCCCTGTCAGCGAAAAGCATCTCTGGGCTACTTCCAATGCTGCACAATAGCAAAAATGGGGGACAGTGAATTAATACCCCTGATGCTAACTCGAGGCCTCCCACCCCACAGCCTGCTGGGGACTGGTTGCAAACTTGTGCTGAAAAACATTAGTTTGGGTTGTAAATGCAGGAGACAGGAATAAGCCATCTTCAGAATTAGCTTAGTGGTATCTGATGCCAATGCCATTATTTTAGTATTATAGAAATGTGAACGTACTTTAATATTATTTCACTGGTTAAGTATTAATGTGCTACTAATAAATATATTCCACATGAAAATATATCTTAGAATGGAATATCATTATTTTCTTACTAATTGATCTCTGAAGATTGTGACCTATTAGTATTTTACTCTCTATCCATTAATGCAAACACTGATTTTCAATTAAATTCCTATTTATCCTCTATAAACTTATTGCCACCATTCAGCATATTTCCTCCCAACAGAAACATGACTTAGACTTCCTTGCGAATGATCTGCTTCGGGACTGGTAACCTCTCATCCTGAAGGTCTCCTCTTGAGACTGAGAGAGAATGCCTTTACTATGTGATTATGATTTAAATAGCTTTGCTTCTTTGCTCTTATCATTAATGAGGCGCCACCTATCTCAGCTGAGCCGATGGGTGAGTCAGAGCCATCTCACTTATCATTCCTCTCCCTTTTCGTGCTTGGGGAAGAAAAGGCAGAGCTGATGTGGGCTCCACATGCCTGGAGGAGAAATTTCTGCTGAGCAGAGCTGTAGGCTATCTCCTGGAACAGCTGCCCAGAGAGGCTGTGGATGCCCCATCTATCCCTGGAGGTGTTCAAGGCCAGGTTGGATGGGGCCCTGGGCAGCCTGGTCTGGTATTAAATGTGAAGGTTGGTGGCCCTGTGTGTGGCAGGGGGTTGGAGATTCACGATCCTTGAGGTCCCTTCCAACCCTGGCCATTCTGTGATTCCTCCTGCTCCCACTGGGCATCCCGGCCCCAGGGAGCTCCGTCGCGGTGTTACCTGGCATCCATGGCATACGTGGGCACCTCCCTGACTCCTGGTGCCTTGCGAGTGGTGGGAGGGAGAAGAGCTGCCAGGATCACAAGGCGATCAGCGGGATTAAGGCTAGACAGCCGGGCTACGCGTAAGCCTCTCGGTCGGCTGTCATTCCCAACAGGAATCGACTTACAGTCTCATAAAGTTCATAAAGTACCAAAAAACGACCATACTCGGGAACAACCCCGGCGGGGGGGGGTTTACTGTGACTGCCCTGGGGCTGCCAGAAGCGGCCGTCAGAGAGCGGACAGCACCCCGCCACAAAGCGCGAGCCGTGCCGACAGCGCGCCCGCCCCGGACGGGACGCGGCAGAGAACCCGTGTGACCTTCCGCCTTCTCTGCCGCCGTTCCCCCGGAGGAAGGCGAGGCTGAGCCTCGCGCCGGACGCTCCTGCGAGAAGCCTCGCGCCCGCGCGGCCTCGAACCCTTTCTGAACGGCTCGGCGGAACCGCGACTCGCGCGGCCACGCTCCCCGCGCACGAGATGGCGGCGGGGAGATGACACGGAACTCACGTGACGCGCCGCCCCGCCCCGCCCGCCGCCGCCGCCGCCGCTCGGGACGCGGAGCCGCCGCTGCCGCAGCCGCCGTTCAGGGGAGCCGCCCGGCAGGCGGCCGCCGCCACGA